TCCTGTCTTCTACGTTCTTCTCTTTCCCTTTCCTCCCTCTCTTTCCGTTCTTTTTTTTCCTCCCTCTCTTTCCGTTCTTCTATTATTGTGTCTAAAATTCCTTTGACGAATACTTCATCATAATCTCTACTTTCAACAATTTTTCTGTTTTAAATCGACTATTTTCAAATCTGCAGTCACATGAACTCCCAGTTCAGCCGCGAGATTTTGCAAATCTTCCTTACGAGCTCTTCCTAAGTAAGACACCTGTTTCTATAAAATTAACGAACACTGTGTTCTTTATACTTCCTCAAAATAGCTCAATTAAGGTGCTACTTGGTAGAGGTTGCACGATTTGGCAATTTTTTGGCGAGTAATACGACTTATGGTAAACCCATTGCTGGATAAGTTATTTATGGTAACCGATACTTTGTTGTCATTTTATTAAAAATAATGCGTTTTATTATGCATAAATTCCGTGTTTAAATATTATTTATGGCTTCTAAATATTAAAAATTAATTTAATTTTGCATTTTTATTTGAAATAAAATTTTGTTGTTTATAATATTTTATATAATTTTATGTTGTGGATGATGTAATCAATGACGTCACTTACTTAAAACGTAATTGGTTTTATTAATATCTATAAATTTAATCTAATGTTTAAACATTATTTATGGGCTGTTAAATATTAAATACAATTTAATTTTGCGTTTGTTTTAAAAATGATTTTATTATGAATGAATATTTAAATAATTTTAATTCTATGCGTAATGTAATCAGCCCTCTTATTGGTTACTGAATATTTGTGCATTACCGCGCCATTTTAAAATTTTATTATTCATCTCTTCGAATTCCTCAGATTTCAAATGGAATGAATATGTTCGTTTCGAAGATGAATGTTGTTATTGGTAATTACCAAAAATTATTGGTATCGGAATAAAAAAAAATTGTCCTTTGAGACCTTATTTTGTCCAACATGGCTTTCCTAATCAAAGATTTATTTATAAATTATTAATAGCATCAGAGGAAATTTATTTTAAATTTTTGGAGAAAACCTCGCTAATTGCTTCTCCAATGAAGTGCGAGAGATGTGGATCACACATGAAGATTGTTTTTTTTTCTGGTACTTATCAATATACGACACGTAAAATACTTTAAAAAAATCTAAGTACATAATTTTCTTTTACTTTGTAATTGCATACTTCAACTTTTATTAAAAAATGAATACAATATTTTCAAAAATTCCTGAGTTATTTAATGCCTCATATGTTTTAATGTTTAATAATTAAATCCTATAAAACTTATTTAAGTAATATTTTAATTCTTTTAAGCGTTGGTATGATGTTTTTAATTCGATATTCAATTTAAGCAATATTTTACTCCCGTTAAATGTTGGGCACTGTTTTTATAACGGTGTTTTTATTCTATTATATGAAAGTAATAATTTAACCTTGCTTTAGCATTTTATACTCTTAGTAAATGTATTTATTTACATTTGCCAGCCATCTTAAAAAACAACGTTTTCAACAAAAAATTAATCCATTATTTTTAACGATATTTATTTTTTTAAAGTTTCTAATACTTTACTATATGCGCAAAATGCGTAAAAACAGCATTTTTCAAGATGGCTGATGACTATTAAAACCGCGCCTATGTAAATCGCCAAAAATCTGTGCAACCGTCTACCAAAGTAGCACCCAATTCAAATACTTTAATTAATTAATGCAGTCAGTAATCACGAAATTAAATGCACTCTGTTAAATACGTATACCTCAAAAAAGAAATATTTAATTATATGAAGTTCATTCTCTCTACCACATTAATTGTCACTAAAATAAGAATAACAACATAGAGCAATATATATATCTACTGTCTGGACAACTAAAATGAATATTAAAAATAATATCCGATACGGTAATAAAATAACACAATTCAATATTAACAGGAAGTAATAATCTGGTATCGCTAATATTATGTTCAGTGATGAACTAATAAAATAAAAATACGCACGATTATTCGATCTCGCCGGTGCCTCCAAAATAATTATGACTGTGATACTTCTTTGGCAATATGAAGCAACTCCAATGATGGAACACAGAAAAAACTTTATTTACCACTCAAAATGGCGAATTAAAAACAAGAAGAAACATATTCTAACATTTTAAAAATAAATTATATTCTTCGTGCGACAGTCGCACGTGGCACTGGAGCCTGGTTTCAAATATTGCCATTCACAAATACCTTAATGTTCATCGAATTAAATTATTTATTTTAAATTACAAGATTTTAATAATATTTAAAGCTGTTGCAATACGGATTTAGGTTGGTTGTATATGGAATTTCATTCAGTGAAAAATTAATACATATCGATGTCTCGTCAGTTGGGCGAAATGATTTACGGATCAAACCTTTAGCAAACATATCTAGCATGTCCTATAGGAAATTAACAGGGGCCCGAAAAATATTGATGATTGATGGTCACCCAAGAAATGACGCACAGTAACTATAGGAAGTATAGGATTTTCTTCCTGAAATGTAGCTCTAGGATGATTTTTGTAGCAATGTTGAAACTTTTGCTTTCAACACTTTACGAATGTATGCTATCCATTCGCAGAGCATGCAGTTCTTAGAAAACGAAAGTGGAAATGAAATGTGATAGCATCCCACACCATGTCTTTGGTAGCCATTATGATGCTTTGCAATGGATTAAAGGTGAAAACATCGCGGAGAAAACAACGGAAGAGGAAAATATTGCTGTAAACAAAACATTGTGGGTGGAAAAAAAAACAAGGAAAAAACATCGTCGTATAAAATACTTTGGTAAAAAGTAAAACACCTACGTTTTTTGCCTGAAAAAATTAAAGTGAATTTTTGTGCTTTCATTTGGGAGCACAAAAAATAAGTAGTATTTTTGCCTCTATATTTCGTATTTTTATATTAACTAAAAATGTTCATTGAAAAAGCAAGAAGGAAACTTAAGCATTCAAATCTGGAAATTAGTAAAAATGAATGCTATGTACAGCAGAAAATATAATTTTGAATTTTATATTTGTATGCCTGCAGTTTTCTAATCATTTTATACTACATTGTTTCATGAAAATCTACTTTATAAAGACATACGTCTTTATAAAGACTTTGTAACATTAATTAAGTAATGACTTTGTAACATAAGTTTGCTAGTCTATTAACTGCTATACATAACATTAATTTTAATTAATTTCCAGGTTTCGAATGCTTTAGCGTTTTCTTTATTTTTCAGAAAACATTTATTAGTTAAAAATATGAAATATACAAGTAAAAATATTAATTACTTCTTGTGATGACAAATCTTATGCGCAAATTCACTAAACATTTTGGTAATCAGTAAACGCATGCTATAATTTTATCATCACGCGATGATTGAGGTGCTTTATTTCTTACCACGATGTTTTGTGATGTTTTAAAGCTGAAATTTTTGCATCACTTTATTTTCTACCGTGATGATTTACATCACAATATTTTAGAACTGAGATGTTTTGTATTACAATGATTTCTTCCGCAATGCTTTGTATGACGCTATTTAAGTCTTGCTTTGTTTTTTGCGCTATATTTTTGTCCGCCATGTTTTCGGCGAATACCCTGCAGCAATGGTCTCAAATTCAAACTGCACGCACGTTATGAAAGCAGTCAAATTAAGCGGAATAATTTTAACAAGATAAAACATTTTTTTTAAAAACAAAATCAAATTTTTTATACTGTATTTCAAATTTTATTTATTAAATACCTATCAAAACCTATGCAAGCAATAATAATAATGACAGAAAGAAATATTCAAATTTATACTTGTTTTTTGCCTAAAGTTTAAAAGTTAATATCTGCAAGAAATTTCTATTGATTATACTATATTATATAATTCAAACACGTTCACAGCTAAGTATTAAATTTTTAAACTGACATTTATTTCGAAATGAGATATTAAATTAATCACTCAAAAACTTACCAAGTAGGACAATAAATAATGATAACTTACTTTCTTTTTTCTAGTCATTAAGCTTTTCTTTGACACGTACAGAAAAATACTTATAATTGTAGGTAACTAATTATAAATTTTATTTCTAATTATTAACTAAAACACTTCAGGACGTGTGAGAAAAATTGTCACTTTTTAGAAAAATTGCTTGAAACTATCTTTATCACGAACTGTAGATGTTCATCTTTCAATCTGGTTTAGGCTTATTGATTTTCATTTACGGAGGAAAAAGTGTTACATATTAGTATATTCGAAAGCACAACTATTTTTTTATTGAAAAATTTCGTAACTGAGGGTACATATCTTTTGACAAGCATGAATAAAATTATTAAAATCTGTACCTTCAAATCTAAGATTTATATGACAATGTAAATTAATGAGCTCTATTTTGTAGATTTCCTGGAGCATTAATCATGTTTGTTATTAGTAATTAACGGAATGTAAAATTGGACATAATAAAAATCTTACATTTTCTTCAAATTCTTGTACTACAGTACTGCTTTCCAGATGGATTTCAGCGAGGTATCAGCGAACGAAATTCTCACCGTTGTGTATCCTCAGATTTCGAATGGTTTCTTTTGGGGTTCATGATCTGTTTTTATTTATTTATGAATCTCGATGTCTTTCTATTCTAAGCATTGCAGTCTCTGACATCGATTGTAGAAAGTGCAAGCCTTCAGTCCATTGCAATGAATGGAATGCTTTCTGTCACAATCTGTTTAGCTCAGAGTTTTGTGAGCTTGTGAGAGTTGTCATACATCTGAGAAACAATTTATTCATAAAATAAACGCGGATGTTTTTTCCTGCATTTATGTTTTAAATCAAGTTTTATAAATGCAAATTACTTAGTGTTTTAATGTTTCAATAAATGTTAAAAAATACAAAATGTATAGAAATTAAAATTAATGCTATTTAAATTGAAAAAGAAAAGGTATAGTACTTTAACAATATATATTTCTAGTAACAAATGGTTTTTTTTTTTTTTTTTTTTTTTTTTTTAAATCAGACCAGGAATGATTTCTTACAATTGCTGCTGGACATTTCTAAGGAAGTATCGAAAGAAGAAACAATGGATGTGTCAGAAAAGGAAAAAGAAGATATTGCAGAAAATTACGGGGAAGTTGATCAACATCATGTTTTCAAAGAAATTTATTCAAATAAAAGTAACTAATGTTCCTATGTTTAATTACATATGCTTGCTTTCGCATGTTAGGTACATGCTTGGAAAAGAACGTGTTCTATGACAAATAGGATAAAAAGGATTTGATTTTGAAGTATTGCATTTTCTTGAATATATAAATAAAGCATTTTATTGTTAATTTGATCAAAGCTATAAGGTGGCTAAGCCAGGTAGGGAGCCGAAACAATTATTGAAACACTAGTAGTTTGCCTCAAATTCTATTTCTGGCGACTGAACAGGGTGACTACATGAAGCATTTGTAGTTTTCCTCTTGCATAAACTTAAATATTAGCCTTTTTCTTTTGCGAAGTCCCCAACTGTGGCATTTGCATGTTTTATCATAAACAAGTAATATAAAAAATTTTTAAGTCAATTTCTACTTAGGTCAACACAGAAAATTAAAAAAAAAAAAAAAATAAAACAAAATTTTTAAATTTTAAAATTAAAAAATGTTTAATATGTGAAAAAACTATATTAACATCAAGTGTCATCCACTACAAGTTTAAAAAAAAGTATTTGAACTTGAATGGATGTATGGAAAGTATTTTATTAACGATTAAAAATTTGAACAAGATATATAGGGAGAGTGTGAGTTAATATTAGGAATTTTAAAATAAGTAATAATATCCTATTCAGAGTGGCCAATAAATCTTTGATCGATTAAAAATTATTAACAATTTAACACAAACTTTGAAACACAGAGGCGGCTGTCTGAATTAGTTTCTAAATTTAAACAAGAGGAAGAGGAATTTCTCGATAACGTAGTTTGGAGATTTTCAAACTCTTTTATCGAGTTTACCATTTCTTAGACATTAAATATCTGAACTTCTTGTATAGTTACATCGAGGAACCATTTTACGCATTTATGGTAAAAGTTACTGAAGAATTCAAATCACTGATAACTGAGTAAATACGGACTATATCACAAATGTGGAAACTACTTTTACTGAAATTAAATGTACTTCGAACAAAATTAATACAGAGGGAACATTTTTATTTACTATTATAATAGTATCTGTGAACGTATTGTTTAAAATGTTTATACTTTTCATTAATTAACGTTTTAAATTTAAAAGATTTCTGATCAACATTATGTTACTGACGTAATATTAAGGAATGAATTTCAGTGAGAGTTTTTAACACGTTTTTAATTATTGGCTTTCACAAATTTTTAATTATATTCAGTGAAATCTCTATCTCTACATATAATAAAAGAAAGAGTCTGTGTGTGTGCCTTTCGTTCGCGCTACGCGTAAGCTAATAGACCCACGGCTACGAAATTTGGTACATAGGTGCATCTAGACAAGCGAATTTTTCGAAATTAGAATTAGAATTTTTTTATTTTATGTTTTGGGATGAAATCGCGTCATTTTGAGACATAATGGGCTATAGAAAAGCGAGATTTTACTCTACATACTTCATTTTCACATCGTCATGAAACGTAGACACTTAGCTATTTTACGAACTTAAACAATTTTCGTGTTTCAATAAATAGATTAAATACGAATTTATTTAACAAAGTGACCTTAACACCTCTACAACGGGATTTTTTCTAAAAACGTTTATTTGTTAAAATGTACATTTTATTTTTCTTTGATTTTTTACCACGTTAAACTATCATCCTTTCGACTGCTTTTACAAAAGAATTTTGGGAAAAAGATAATATTTTGTGTTTTTAAAAAATTTTTAAATGAAGCTTCCAAGTACACTTCTCAATTCTCACATCTTTAAAAATGTTTATTTTGGTAACATTTTCCCTTTATTTTTGTTGTTTATAGATTTTTGATTAAATCGCATCATTTTGAATAGTTTATTTCTTTTAGAAATATGGGTTTGGCAACAATTTTTCATCGTATTTCTAAAGTCACTATTTTTAAGAGATTGGCATATTTCATTGTCATTTTTTATATATATAATACGTTTTTATTGATTTTTTTGATAAAGCTATTCTGCAGATTAAAATTCTGCGCGGAATTTTATGTTTTTTCGAGTTACTTTCATGTTATTTTTTGCTTATTTCACTGTTTGTAAGATATTGAAAAGTTTTGCATGATTTTTTTTCTGCAGCGGAAAGTTGGTTAATTTTTTTATTAGGATAATTAATATTTGGTTTTATGATGCATTTTATGAAACAAAATAATAAAAATTATGAAGCTATAAATTTTAATTGGGGAAAATCTGTGATTTTACCATTTTTCCATACATCTGAATAGTGCAGTTGATCGTTTTATATTTGAAGTGTTAAAGTTAAAAATTCTGGATTATTTTAAAATCCCATTTCTTTTTGTAGGTTTGTCTCATGATGAACTAGTTGCACAATGTGTCATTTTCTTTTTGGCCGGTTATGAGACCACAGCGTCCACACTTTCTTTCATCACATATGCTCTAGCTCTGAATCAAGACGTGCAAGACAAATTGAGGGAAGAAGTGGATGAGGCAATCAAAGCAAATAATGTGAGTTTTGAATGATTTATTCTTTACGGCCGCATTTTAGCTCTTACGCCAATAATGTAACGTTCCATTTTTAGCAATATCTCTCGTTCAGTATTAAATTTTAAGTCACAGAGACACGTAAAACGGGAAAATATCGTTAAGTATATTACTTAATACTTACAGCCAACATATACAGGACAAAAATAAGTGTGTAAGCATAACAATTAAATTTTCATATGCAGAATAGGTAATCCATAGAGTAAGATTTCGATTTTTATAGCATGACTTGTGTGTGGTACAAGGTTACTTTACTTTAATATTTTCAGATATGAGGTTCCATAAAAAGTAAGTACTGAAGATATCTGAGAAACAACATCCTCAGGAGATCTTCATATATCCCGGGACATTACGACTTGAACAGGACATTCTTAAGATGTTGATTTACGAAGTCCTCAGGATATCTGAAAATTAACATCCTGAGGAGATCTTTATATATCCCGGGACATTGAGACTTGAATAGGATATCCTCAGGATGTTGACTTAAGAAGTCCTCAGGATATCTGAGAATCAAAGTCCTCAGGATATCCTAACTGCTTCCTGGGACACTGCAACTTAAATAAGATATCCTGAAGATGTCTTGTGTTATTGGGGATATATATAGCATGTTCATAAACGTCCTTAGGCAAACTACATTTTCCGAGTATTGATCGCAGAATTTCTAACTTAAAAGCATTTTAAATGACCCATTATTAATGTTATAGTACTTTTAATTCAATAAATGAATAAATAATAAAGAGTTATAAGTTACGAAATCTAACTTTTCATACAGTCATATTTAGTAAAGTAGAACACAAAACGTTTGACTCTTATACTTCGAAAATTGTCTGAGGTATTTAATTTCACCATTTGGGATCCTTTTAGATTTTTCAATGCAGGATTCGGTTTCCTTGAAGAAGCGTTTAAAAAATAAATTAGCATAACAAGATTCATTTTTCCTTTCTCAGCTTTTCCGAACATTCCTTTATGATTCATTAATGTATCACATATTGTAATCTATAATTTTATCCCATTTCATATGTATAGATTTCTACATAAGTTTCCAAATACTAAAACTACTTTAATATTTACATGCAGTTTTTATTACTTTAGGATCATTAAGTAATAATCATACAAAGCATTTATTAGCTAGTAATATTTTTTTCAAGTTTTAATTAATGCCAATAATGTCAGGAGTGGGTTATGCGTTAATTATGGAAACCTGTGACTGTTTTTTAGAACAAAAATGTCTGTACGATTCTGTAATTAAGATCTGCTTCTTAAAAAGTACTGATCGAAGTTTTTGACGATACTCTGCTTAACAATGCTCGTCACTAGATATTCAGTACCAGAAACCTTTTCTAAACTGATATATTTTATTGTTTGCGCAAATTTAAAGGGACCCCCGATTACGCGTCGGACGGACTTCCAGTTACATTCCGAAGGCACACGGAAAGGAAATAGAGAATATCTTACATACTTTCCCTTTTAAAAGAGGGGACCCTGGTGAAGACAATTATAATTCACCCCCTTTTAATTTGGACGCCACTATAGAGTCATTAGGTGCTTTAATGCAGGAGACGTGAAAAATTTTCAGTGCCCTCCGGACCTCCTGATTACGCGTTGATCATGCTTCCAGTTACAACATGAAGGCATGCGGAAAGGAAGGAGAAAATACCGTTAGTGTAAGACCTCTAAAGTATCAGGAAACGCTATCTCACATTCTTAAATATATTGCATTTCAGTTTTTTCGTATAGGAATCAAACTGCTTTTTTTTTTTTTTTTTTTTTTTTTTTTTTTTTTTTTTTTAATTTAGAGTGAGTGTTAACATTTACTTAACATAACTATAGGGCCCAGTAAGGAGGGAAATTTTAAAAAGTAACCAATGTTTTCGTGAAACACTTATTATCAGAATTAGTTTTACAGATTTCAGTTGAGTAAAGTATGTTACTTTACTTTTTAAAAATAACGGCGCTCATGTGAGAAGCATTTCTGTGTAAAATTCTTCTAATCTTGACAAAAAATTTTCCATCAACGAAGCAGGTCAGGTTGAATCCATGCAATGTCTTGCCTGATATTTATAAAATTCCGTTTGGTTGCGGTCAATCAATGCATACCCTGCTCTTCAGAAATTCTCAATGGAAGGTCTTGGAGAAAGATATGACATCATGCAGTTCGCTGCTGTGTTGATTAGAGGAAATAATTTCCCTATGCCCTATGCCCTATAGTAGTGATTTTTGTATTTTGGTGTTTCTGCGATCAAATATATAAAATAAAACATACATAAAACTTTTTAAAATTTCACAGCCTTAATTAAATGCATTAAAATATAAATCATCGCAAAATGCCATTTGCGTGTCTTGCTTTCTTTCATCTAGTGCTTTGTTTGCAAAAATGTAAACTCATCTAACATAATTGGCTTTGAATGTTTTTACGATCCCTTGATCTATTGGCTTCGTTAAGGAAGTAACGTTAAGCTGGAGGAATAAAGCAGGTTACGTTTGGTTACAGTGTTGTGAGGATTTAAGTACTGTATCTTAGAACATTAATGAGAATTAGAAAAGCTTTAAAACTACTTTGCTAGTAATATTTGACTCTTTTAACGAATGAATTTTCAAAGCAATCATTGTTTTTATAACCGAAGCTTTTTTTACCAGTTCCACGTTACGGGCAATTACCAGAAGTTTTTCTCCGCGTTTTAGACAGTATCAGTAGATATTTTAGACAGATAAATAATCAAAGTCGCCTAATACATTTCCATAAAAAGCAAAGTGAGTCTATCCTTAAGAGCTTTAAATACTGGGATCTTTGTGATGTAGGTTCGCTGTTTTCATTCTATTATAACATAGACCTTTCTTATCCGCAATGAAAACTTGTGTTGTTGTTATGACTTATGTAACTTGTCTGACAGAAACATCAGAACAAGCCCATGAAATTCATTGTGTCAAGGACTGCAAGACTGCGCCTATCGTTGGCAAGAGCCTTGAACACCATCCAGTACGACAGAACACAGTACGACTTCGCTCAGTTCCGTCCCCAAATTTTGATGGAGAGTACTTCCGGGGGGGAAGGGTTCGAGGATCTCCCACCCATCTTTCCCTACGATCAACCTCCTGCGAGGACTTTCGACTCGCCGCATATTTAAAGTGTCTTCATGCCGCATAGACGCTATGCATTTACAACATCCATGCCTTCTCCGGGATTCGAACTTCGGCCCTTCGGTACAGCAGTAGGTTCCCCTACGACTACACCATAAGGGCGGCAATGAAGACTTGTTGCGAAACTGAATCCTTCTCTTCATTGTATTTCAAAAATGGGGTTTGGATTTCTGTACCTCACTTTTATCTGCATTCTGTCTGAAGTTTTACACTGTGAAAATTTAAATGACGCTTAAAATTCCGAAGCCAACCGTTACTTGCTCAGAAGTCATTATTATTTCCTCTGATGATTGGCCATATTTAATTTAAACGAAAGAAAATAGTTCTAAAGCCTTCTTTCGAATAGCAACACCAAATTTATTATTCGAAAAACAACTCCTTTTTGTTTAATTGATGATTTATCCAAGCTATTAATATATTTTCTCAGGAATTCGTCTTGAAATTTGAGCAATCTTTGCTGAAGCATCGCCTGAAGTTTTGACGCTATGCCACATTTTCTTGATTTGTTTATAGCTATAGTTCTCTTTCAAGCGAAGAATCATATGCATTATTTTTTAACTAACCTAAAATACCTTTTTTATTATAATATCAAAAAATTTGCACCTTTTCGCCGCTTTTCAACTTTTCCCTCTTAGGTGTCATATTGAATTTGAATTAAAAGAAATGCGAACGAAAAAAGACAGTAGGATAAATATGTGTTTACAGCTCTGCTAACTTGAATAAAATGATCGCAACTCGATCTGGGTCACTGGGCAGTGCCAATCAGGATTGCCAGATGCTTCGTGGGTTGGTCTTTTGTAAAGTACACGTTGTTATGGTGTCACCACCGATACTTATTTATTCAGGGCTTAACAGCAATGTTCGTTTCTCAAACTTTGATGTCGCATAATTTATTTCGCTAAAATATCTGAACCCAAAGAAATTTATAATGCCTCAAAATAATAATAATAAAAAAAATTCAGAGTTATTTTGATCACTTATTTCTTTTGTTTACAATACAATGTTTGTTATAATGAATAGAAATTTGAAACGTTTATAATTTCCTTTTTACATGTTATAGGGCGAACTTACATATGACGCTATACAGAGTATGAAGTACCTGGACAATGTTATATCTGAAACTTTGAGGCTATATTCTCCAGCTATAAGGTAATTAAATAATTTGAATAGTTTAAGAAAATAAACTAATATAAGTTAATAAATATGTTATTATAATAAATGCAATTTTTAACTGTTAAAAGTAAGTTTTATTAAACGCAAAGTTTTCGCTGCAGCATTGGATTAAGGAACGATTATTTCAGTGGTCGTCTGAAGTGGTAGACTTAATAATACGCCAAAAGCATAACTATTCTATTCAAATAATCTGCATTACTAGTCTTAATACTAATATTTAGTATGCGTTGTACGGCATAAAACCTCATCTTGATTGCCAATCTCAGAATTGTTGTCAATTAATTTACTTTTAAAATCATAAAAGGGCATTGCATATAAATGAAACAAACTGAGCGATTTCAAAACCGTAATAAACACTTCTTAAGAATTTTCGATACAATAAACTTTTGTAGTTCTGTCTTTTCATTTTTTGCATAAGTTAACGTTACTTTTAATTATAAAAAAACGCTGTCCATTTGAATTATACACGCGGCATTGTAAATTTCCGATTTTAAAAGCCTCTCGTTATCTCTCTCTCATTGAACTATATTCTAAAGAATATACACTCTCTAGCATATTTTAAAGAATGTACTATTCCTGAATTAATATTATTAATTCCTCCTTTTATACCATTACTATATTGAAAGTATGTTTCTGAAATTATACATTATTTTCTACAAAACGTAATTTTTTCAGTAGCTTTATATATATATTTAAGTGATTTACAATATTCCGCATCCTCCTGTAGCGTAATCGTATGAAGGAAAGTCATAAAATAAATCATAAATTAACGTGATATATTTGAAAACAGTAATAAGTACTTTCCATGTATGTTAATAAGTGGTAAAACTGTCATTAGTTTCTAAGTTTCATTAGTTACTAAGAGCCATTTGCTCATGCGCAGTTTGAAAATGCCGATGGAACTCGATGACTTTACAAGAGAAGACTACTATGCTGTTATCCTTTTTTCGGGGGGGGGAGAGGGAGGGAGGGCGGCTTCATGCGAATGATATTCATAAAAGAGTACTTCCTGTTTATGGAAAGAATTGTTCGTCGTTTAAAGCCGGGCAAAATTGCATGCAGATATTTTTTCAAGGCCACTCCAAACTTTGCGATGAAAATAGATGTGGGCGTCCTGTTCAGCCTGAGATACGTTCACTAGCGCAGAGAAGGTTACGGTTTTGAAATCGCTCAGTTTGTTTCATTTATATGCAATGCCCTTTTATGATTTTAAAAGTAAATTAATTGACAACAATTCGAGAGGTGTACCGTGCGCTATAATAATTAAAATAGAAACACCCGGGGATTGGTTCACTAAAATTATATCTTGGACGCAAATGCTATGCAGATGATAAAGACATTCAAGATGTGGATGAGAAAGCGACCTAAAGAATATTATTCATTTGTTATTGGAGCACTGACAGAAAAGTGCATATATAATTACGAAGATTATGTTTAGGAATAAAATTAGTTTCCAGGAGAGTATCTCGTTATTTTGTAATTAGCTTTTGTGGCTTATTTACTGGCTTCCTCTCGTATATAGTTATTTATTCAGGTTAAAAGAGGCTTAACACAAGAAATGTACTGAAATTTCTAATAATTATGAAAACAAAATTTGTATACTTATCCTGAATCACATCTTATCCATTTGTAATAGTTTTGATGCACGTTCTGTTTATTTATGCAGGACGGAAAGATATGCAGAAGCTGATTACAAGTTAGGTGACACAGGGATAACTATTCCAAAAGGTATGGTAATAACAATCCCAATCTATGCTATCCACAGAGATCCCAAATATTATCCTGATCCTGAAAAATTCAATCCAGATCGGTAAGTTTATTCATTACGCATATTAAATAATGTTAGGAAGAAAATTTTGACTTTTTGATCGTATCTCAGTAAACGATATTAGTAATTTGTTGGTCAAGCTTTAAAATAATCCAAAATAACGATACCAGTTTTGCATCTGAACAAAGCGGAGCTATTTCCAAATTTATTTACTTCACTAAGAAATTAGATAACATATAGTGAATAATATTGAAGGGAAAAAATCATGAAATTTTCATAGGTGAATAAGTTTATTTATAATGGCTAATATCAATTAGAAAATGCAAGTACGAAAATTGAAAAATGTTGTACCATTAATTTTATTTAGCGATGAAAGGAGAAATTTGTTTAAATTAATCAAACTTTATGTTACAAATCGCTCGCATAATTGATAAATGATGTCATATTTTCTATGCACTTTTTGATGAAATGAAAATATGATGGACGTATAAATCCAGCACGTCTCAACAGAAGGTATGAATTATGTCCTTCTATTCTTTCAGTTTTTTTAGTTGGGCTTTATGGTTGTGTGTTTTCACAGATAATGTGCTGTCCACTTTATAGTAACTTTTGAATAGCTTCTCTATAAGTCTGGTAATGATTCAAGAAACCGTTAACGCTAATAGAAAAATCTATCCAAAGAATCTTCGCCGTCTTGATGTATTTCTTGGAGTTATCCTTTCCTGTTCTACTTTTTGGTTCCGACCCAATGTAAATTTGTGATGAAATTTTGAAATTGTATAAAAGCAACCGACTCTGCATTTAAAGAAATGTAAATAGGTATTTTTCAAGTTTGGGAAAGGAAGGAGGAAATAATCTACCATATAGCAATGGTAACAGGAATGCATAGGGCAAAAAAAAAAGTTTGACAACCACTGCTCTATATTAAATATACACTCTGTCACAGAAACATATATGTGCCCAGAAGGAAGCGAACTACTAACATGAAACTTAACATGTGTGTAGCGTATGAGGAGATAAACACATGATTATAAATTCAGAACAAAAGGTCTTTTTATTAAGACGTTAATGCAAGAAAAATATTACAAATCAGTGAGTAGTATAGCCACATCTGGCATCTATACAAGCCAAAACATTGCGTGGCATCGAATCAAGTAGGTCACCTATGACCCCTCACGAAAGATCATAGCATAATCTTTGCAACTGGGCAGTTAATTCACCAATATTCTGAGACGGCTGCAGTTGCCTTAAAAGCATGTCCCAAACGTGCTGTTTGGGCGCAAGGTCTGATGACCTGGTAAGCCACGGGAGTACATCATATCTCTTGAAGACACTGTTGGAAGATTCACCCAGTATGTGGACGAGCGTTGTCTTGCAGATAAATGGCACCTGGCCGATTTGATAGCATAGGGAATACAACTGGAGTTAAAATGTCATCCACCATTATGCGAGCCGTTAGAGATGATCGTTTGTTCCAACAAATCGCTCCCCGCACTGACACACTTTATGTAATCGCCGTATGCCCCTCGACAGACAACAAATGCCGTATCGGACCACTGGCCTGACCGCCTCCACACGCATGTGTTGGTCATCAGCACAGAGACTAAATCGGGATTCATCGCTAAAGATCAAATGCCTCCAGTCGATACACTCCAATTTGCTTTGAGTTCGGCAAAAATCCAATCGACACTGCCTATGTGGGGAAAGTGCTGTAGGCATCTTAATGGACTTCGGCACGCCCCTTCTCAAAGTCTGAAAACTGTTCGTACTGCCATCGGTTACTCTCAGAGGCATCTCTAGCCACAGTTTCATCCAAGTCGACAGATTCTTTTGAATACCCTTACGGTGCAAGCAATCATACTTTTAAACTGTCCCAGTTGCGCATGTCATATGCACATAGCGCGCTCACCCTTGTCTCACTGGTGTCTAAATTTAAATCATTTGCATATCTCTTACCAGACTACATTCCTGTGGAGTTTCATGATTGTGGCTCGATTTTTTTTTCTGGATGCATAATTTTTTTATGACAGAGTTTATATATGTATATAGAACAACTGCATACTTAATTACTGCTATGTATATAGTTTGGATTAGTGCTTTGGTCAGTGCGCGAGGGTCGTGCGAAATTATATACTGGAACATTTTTCATTTACATTTGTACTAAATTTACCTATTTTATTAGAATTAAAAATGGTGCATTTAACTGTGCCAAACTACTAACTGAGTTATAAAAGATCGAAAAATCAGAATAAGAAGAAAGCATTAAGTTTCACTCTTAAATAATTATGTTCAAAGCGCACAGCGCTGCACTGTTTAAAGTAAGTATTACTGGGATTTAAAAAATACCGAAATGTTTCTTACAAGAAAAAGGGCTTTAGAAGTTATAATGACTTTTATCGACATTAGCTAACAATCCGTATTTTATTATCGTTTATCGTGTGAAAATAAATTTGTTTTTAATGAAAAAAATTACCTTGGCTTTTATAAAATAATGAATGTAACTAAGTAAAGATTATGTGCTAAATGTTATATTTGCTAAGGAAGTTTTGCTATAAAATCATTTGAAATGTTAAGGAAAGTATTCGGAGACAACACTTTATTTTAGAATAATATAAAACGTTCATGGAAAGCAGAAAATATCTCGAAAGTGAATCATGCTTATGGCAGATCATCCACTTCACTTAATGAGAAACACGTAAATCAAGTCAGACATTTGTTTCTCAGAGTCATCGCTTATCTGTTAAGGATTTTATTAAATTTCTGTAGAATTTGGAAAACCTATCAAGCAATTTTAAGAGATTTCTGCGCGTCCATTCTCGAGTTCTTTCCAAAACAGCAGCAGGCTCAAGTATTCTAGAAGATGCTTTCTCAAGGTGAGTCTTTCCCGCCTTAAAACACATTACCACTGATGAAATACCCGTCTTTGCTTATAAAGAAACAGCTCAGAATCGAGTGATTGGAACTCGAAAATTTAAGCAACAAAGATTGAAAAGTCCGCTACGTCAAAGTCGGTTAAAAATCAAGGTAATGTTGACTGTTTTCTTCGAATATCGATGTGTTGTACATCATGAAACACTACCTAAAGATCAAACGTATGAAATATTTCGTTGACGACGATTTTAATTGTGATTAATATTGTAAATATTTCGTTGACGACGATTTTAATTGTGACAAAGTGAATCATAGATTTTGTACTATGAAAACGTATTTCCTCAAAATACTATCGTTGTTCGTGAAGTTTTAGTCAAAAATTCTATAAATCCATCCATATTCATCTAAAATGGCACCATGTAACATTTTCAGTAGTTCCACGGCTAAAATTGCTCCATTGGGGTCTTCGCTTTGAGTTTATTGATGGAAACTTCGCTGCAAATGATACAAGGGATTCACAAAAACCACTTCAAAATGTGTTTTTTGAAAGAATGAAAAAATCATTAACGTAACTATAAATTGGAATCTTGCATTTTATGAAATCGTTCCTGATATTTTTTCACTACAAAAGTAGGCTTAGCAAAAATTAAACTAAATTGCACCAGGATTAAGTTGTAGATAGTTTTATGTACAAAATAAATTATAAACTGGGAGAAAATTTTAAGATGTGCGAGTACATAACAAAGTAAAAACATAATGTTAATCGTAAAACGTTACTAACGTAATTTCGTTCTTCAAATAAAATGTGATTATTTGTAGATGTGTCCAACGTACTGTTGTACAGTAAAATCTCTGTACGTAATTATTGGCATTTGGTACATGGAATGGTGAACACAATTGCTTGGCAAAAATTGTGGAATGGAATTAATCTGATTATGAAATAGGTGTATCAAAGTGCCGACACGAATTATTCTTAGCATCCCTGTAGTTATGAAAGTGGATAGGAAAGGCCTGAAGATAACGACGCTTCAAATATATGTTGAAAATATTTAATAGATTTGGGTAGAATCGGTAATATTCGTAGTATCAGTAAAGTACTCAGTCTGAACTATGGTATTAACATAATTTAATTTTAAATTTAAATAATTTTAAATAAAATAAATTCTTCATTTTTTTACATAATTTACATAAGTTTTGTAAAATTTTGGAAGTTTCACAGCAGTAGAGTTTAATAAAGTATTGAAAGAAGTACTTTTATTATAGATTCAGTCCAGAAGAAAGAGCTAAACGCGATCAGTACACTTACCTACCTTTCGGTCATGGGCCTAGGAATTGCATGGGCATGAGATTTGCTCTCATGGAGATTAAGATCTGTCTCGCTGAAGTCGTGAGGAATTTCAAAATCAAAAGATGTCCACAGACAAAGGTGAGTTAGATAGTTCTTTTCTCGCAATATAAAACCCTATTCGATATTAATTGAAAATATTTGCTTAGTAAATTTTAGAGATAAATAGGTAAGATGTATTGTTTCACACTTAAATCATGAATTATATAATTCGTTTGTAATGATTTATTTATTTTTCTTACCAGTTCTTTATCTTCTTTAAATTTCAGTTCTTCATTCTTCTTTTAAATTTTCCTGTCAGAATGCTAATTTTAGTTCGCGCGTCTTCAAATGAGGTAGAAAGAGATAAAAGAAGGTTTTAGATTCTTTAATTAGAACGGTGTTCTGCCTGCTGAAAACCATGCTACTAATTAAATCTCTTGGATAGCTGTCTGCGGCGTTGCGTTATTCTTGCCATTAGTGCTTGTCACGCCGATTTAGGTTGAGCCTACTTGAGCGTATTGATTCTGTGTCTTTGGCTAACTTACGACTAGCCTTTGGTTTTATTAGCCTTTGGCTAACTTACGACTTAACTGGGTTTAAATCTGAATTCATTACTTTTACATCACGCCATAAATGTTGGCTGGATTTGTGCTTTCTGTTAAATTTCCGAGTTTTAATAAAGGAGTCGTTTACACTTTTCTTAGGTTTCTCTGTCTTCGTACTTGAACATAGCGATAAGTCGCTTAGCTTTAGCTTGAGTCTCAATTTAGTTTATGCTTCCAAAGAAGGTAAGCATCTACACGTTTCTAGGTTGCTTCTTTGCATTGAGATGCTTTAGCAAAATTTCAAAACTTATGTATAAAAATAATATTTTAGAGCTGACTTGGAAACGTGTGCAACGCTGAGCATTAATATCGTAATGTCCTGCTTCCAAGAAAACAAACAAATACAAAAGACAACAAAAGGGAAAACTGGTTTTCTGTTATTAAATGTTACATGTGCAACATTTAAAGGATCTACACACATACAAAAAAAAAAAAAAAAAAAAAAAAAAAAAAAGAAAAAGAATAAAATAGTAGAAATTAATTGGTATCGGTAATAGTTCTATCTAGGCAAAAAGAAATACACATAAAGTTAATAAAACCTTAGCCCAGCGGCTCTCAACCTTTTGACTAACGCGTACCTCTAAACATAAAATTGCAAACCTTTAATACCACCACTACAAAGTACTACTAGCACTACAACTCTTGAACAAAGCTTTCAGATCGCATAAATTTACGAGGGTTAGAGAAAAGACTCAATCAGGATGTTGGATTTTATTTTTGAATTTAATAGTTAAAAATACTTCTTTGCGTACCACCTATTTTTCTCTTCCGTACCACCGGTTGAGAACCCCTGCTTTAAATAGCCTCGTATTAGCCTGTCATATCGCAATTATGGCTACAAAACTCGAAAGGTTTCTTGCAAACTTAACAAATTCAGCTAATTCATTAGAAATTTTGAAAAATTTAAATTGGGAAATCTTTTTCTCTGTGTTATGGACAAGATCAAACAAAATATCTGCGGCACTCCACAATGTAAGCCCAATGTTTTCAGACAAAGATGATAGCAATAATCTTATAAAAAGCCTGTGGTCTATAAGAATTTATTTAGAATGTTGATTTTAAAGTGCCTTAAATTGCCTTTGTTTTTATCCGAGGAAAGTATATTTTGATTTCTTCTCAAAAACAATATTTATATTCTTTCATAGCCATCATTTTAGCGTATCAGCTCCTAGAAATATAAGAAATTATATTTAAGCAGAAAATAATATTTTCCTTCTGCTTTTATATTTTACTCAGATCATGTTGTCATACATTCATTTTAATATAGGTTTATTATTGCAATTTGAATGCCTAGGAAAATAACATTTGTAGGAGAAACAAATAAGTAATAGAAAATAAAAAGAGGAAAGTCTGTGACATTAGACCATCCAGGTAAGTAAAGTCCATAATCACACAGCACAAAAAACATGATAAGGAATAATAAAGACACAGTTTTGGGCAGCAAGAGATAGACGTTAAAGGAAACTCTCGGCCATCCGTTGCTACTGGAACTCTTATTACAGACTTAGAACATTCGTTTAGGAACTTTTGGGGTCGAGTGGAAAAATAATGCCCTTCCAAATGTCCTGGTCAATCTGGAAGGAGAAAAACTATATTCCCACTGCAACAGTAGGACACAGCAAGATTGCACTTTCTACAGATGTAGTCAGCATCGAAGAGAACATCGCTTTGATAGTTTCAGATATATACAGCTTCGACGGGAAAGCTCCGTCACTGTTCTTATATACAAATGTCCCTAGGACCTCACATTCAGTTTCAACTATAAAGTTCCAACAGTAACTGCACTCCATATATTTATACACATTACATTTCCTTATATAAAAATATTATTTAAAAACTTAAGACTAAGCTAAAGAATATTGCAAAGAACAATTTTTAACGAAAATTTACTGAGAGAGTTTGATTAAACAACACTTGAACTGCTTTTGTTATAAATGTATTTGTAACTGAATTATTTTGTTTCTTTTTTCTGCAATTCGTGGCAGACTGAATGATGCTCTAAAATCTTTTTAAGCTCCATCATCAGTATTTAAAATACAAGTGCCAAGATTGTGAATTAGGCATGCGGTCATGTCACTGTAAAATTCAAGATCACAGTACAACTCGCTCAGACTCAGTCTATTAGACCAAAATGGTGAGACCCTAGCTTGCCAGGCATCCTTTAGCTGTCGAACAAGAAAGTCCAGATGACGAATTCCTATACAAACATAAATTACGAGTTGATAATAGAAGTATGATATAAAGGAAGTAAGGTATTATCAAAAGTATAAACAAGTTTTAGAATATTTATATATTGGCATCAGAAAATTTTCACCCAAATTTTGTTGCTGTTATTATTTGTCAGTATTCTCTTTTATTTCACGAAGTTATCGTATTATCAAAAACTAAAACTATTTAAATGCTTATATTAGTAATTAAAGAAGTAATTAAGGGATTTTAGCGTTCTAGTATTTTCCATTTATAAGGCTGCATATGGTCTAGTTCTAGAACTTTACTCTTGTAATCCTAACAGACATGTAGGGGGTTATCCTATATATGAGATAGTACGACAAATCTTACGAAGGTTTAAAAATAACCTTTTATTTAAACAAACCTTTGAACATAAGGACACAACTTTGCGTTACAAATAACCACAGCAGTTTGCGATGATAAATAAAATTAGAGCAGTCAATTCAAATTAAATGTTGATCCGTATTCTAAGACTACACAGACAAATACTAAGCTAAGACCTGGCTCAATAATTTAATGGCGTATATCTGCGGCGAGAAACGCTAGGCCGAGAAAATTACAACAATCTGGAGCTTTCAGAATCTATTCACGCAGCGCTTATGCCCCAAACATTCTCTCTCTCGTAAGATACAAAAAACTCAGCTTAAATACACAACCCACTAATTTTCATTCTGGTGAGAAATACTGAAAGAAGATGTTAAAATAAAAATTCAAATCATAATAACTAGCAAATTTAAAATACGGACTTTTACATTTTCCTCAGAGGAATTTAAATAATCGCAAACAAAAGTCTTGAGCCACCTTGACAAATATTTTAAATCCTAAAGAGCTAACTCTTACAATCATCTAGTTAAATATCTAAATCTAAATTTAAGTTGTTATAGAAGTTGGGATTTTACTTGGACAAATTTCATGCAATCACTCTTCAGTTCATATCTCATCTTCTTTTAGGAATCTAAAAGAACAAATAATTTAAACAAGCAATTTTATAACTTATGCTTTTCAACTTGCCTTTAAAAATTTTAGAAAACTTTTAACATTTTACTTTATCTAAATGCAATTTCTCACTCCTCTCCAGCATTGTAATGCCTGAAATGCTGGTGTAAATTTGTGCAGAGTTTCAGCAACTACCTGTTAGAAAAATCATGTATTATTAATATAGACACACTAGAGAACTCAAAATCACCTTGTTTCGAGAATTTATAACTAATGTTCTAAGCTTAAATTTCATTAAATCTCTGTGCTGGCTGCAGAGCCTAACTTTCAGCTAACATCGATTACATTATGCTAGTTTTAATGCTAGCTTTTACTTTACATTACGCATCTTCAAAATACTTTTAACTTTTATAAAACTATTAACAAAACATACTTCACGGTAAATATTAAAATTCATTTGCATGATATAATTCAAAAGATTACTGAGTTTGAACTCCACATCATATATACAGAAGTCGCTAATATTTATTTTTCTATCGTGCCAAAAATTTACTCAATTATGCAATCTCTCAGACTAAAATCATAATCACATTTAACACTCAAAATGAAAATTCTTCAACATGGATGCATAATTAACTGAAAAAGCTATTTGCTGATCCTCGCTTGAGGCAGAACCTCAACGTAACATAGCAGCTATTACACTAAGACATAAAATAAGCTGAATATTTAAAGATATAAAGCAATTTTGTATTTATGTTTGTTTCTTTCGAAATCTCCCATACTTTTTGGAATGAATTCCTACCAGGATGGGGAACCATTGGTGTGATGAATACGGATTTTCCTATTCAATCGATGATTCTTCTTGTCCTCTAGTAGTCGCTTGCGTTCTGTGAACAGCTCCTTATCTGCGTAGTTTTCGCTGACGCTGTGGAAATTCCGACGTATCAAGTCGTTTCTTCAAAAACAATCTGCCGTCGGAAATGTCCTCTGAATCTTCTTAGACTTCGACTGTTGACCTAGCTTCTCTTCTAGGGATCTCTTGCAACGTAAATTCTGGCTCGGCTAACCTGCTGTTTTCCCGTAGTTGAAAGCCTCATTCGATGCTGACATTCTCTCTCACTCCTTCTGTTCACTGACTTTCCAACAGTCATTGTTTGAACTAGGTTGGTGTTCACATCTGAGAGATCTTTAATGTTTGGATGAGTTCCTGACAGTTTTCTTTCCTTTTGCCCTCCGTTCTGTGTAGCTTTGCTCTTTGCTGACTCGCCGAACTTCGGCTTTTTCTTTTCTTTTCAACCATTTCCGGCATCCTTTCTTTTTTTGCAGATCTTTTACTCCAGATGTTGACGCTGTATCCACCACATTCCTTACTGCCCTTCATTGCTCAAGGTCAGTGATTCCTACAGAACATCTCGTAGCAGTGGCATAAAGCACTTATGATAGCGCTTTATCTGCTCTACTTCGGCTTTCGCACATTCACATTTTGACCTATTAAAAATAGCACTGTTTCCCTTGTTAATTCAATTAGATGGGCCTTAGAACTTATTACAAAACTTCCGACATTTTCCTTGTAATGGACAAGAAAGATAATGTTTAATTTTGCAAGACTATATAATCGTTTTTTTAATGTCACCTTAAAATCAACTTCCGATCTTTTCTTCTCATAATAAAATTTTTATTTCGCCCAGGCTATGTCCATATTTCTATTTGTATCATCCACTAATTTCTGAATGTTTCCTATCCTAAATTCGGCAGACTTCATTTCAAGAAAAAAGTTTATCAAGATGCGTAGTGAACTTTCTTCGAAGAAATAATTCAGCCGGTGTCTTCTCCGTTGTATCACGAATGGCCTTCCCAAAGAGAATACCTGTTCATTGGCGCAGTCATCCCAACGTTGTTGATAATTTCTTAAATATCTGCCGATAATTTTAACTATATTTCTATTTACCCTCTCTGCAATATTCGACTGTTGTCGATAAGAAACTATCTTAAAATATTTTATGCCATAATGTGTGAATCTTGTGTAATGGATTTACGCAAGAATTTGGCTTACAAACTGCTTTCCGTTGTCCGATATTATGTTAACTGGAGCTCCCTACTTGAACAAAAATTTATTTAAAAATGAAGCTGAAACAATTTTAGCGGAAGCTCATTTGAAGATAATCATTTCTACCCGTTTTGAGAAATGATCAGAGATAGCAAATATCTGTTTTTATATTTTCCATTACGTGGATAGGAACCTATGTCAATTCCTGTTATTTCATTCTGGAAAGTAACTTTTATGTTATTTAGATACCCGGATGGGCTACAATTAATATCGATAACTAATTGACAGAACTTGACATACCGAACTGCAAATTTTTATAGCTGTGAAAAATAAAAAGCTTCTTTATTATTCCGAGACAGCTGAAACTGGTGCATAATGTAATTCCTATAAATACTGAAACTAGCTGGAATAACCAGTCTTAGTTCCACATTATTATTTGCAGTTGTGGAATAGAACACGATATCATCAATAGTTTATTAACTTTCAGCTCTGTTCCTAATACTTGTCATTTCACAGTGATCAAAATGATCGTGATCTCTTAAATACGCATTAATATCTTTAAATACTCGGTCTATTTGTAGTTCTGAGATAATAGTTTTTCGTGTATCTAAAATTTTTGGAGTAAACATGGCACATTTAATTTCTTTCCCCTCATAATCTAATTTATTTCGCTGTCTAATTATTATTGTATTATTACAATTTAAGAACATGTCTTATGAGTCTGGATGATAAATTCTTCACGGAATAGAAACGAAAATGTCTGCATGTTAGGAGTTAATATGCTAAAGTTACGAGATATTCTGCTATAATCTGATGGAAATAATCCCAAACTGTCAGTACAATCACATGGAATTAAAGAATAATGTGATTAAATTTGATCTTCCACCGAGAGAATATTTTCCATATAGAGATGGAATTCAAAGCTGCGATGCTGTAGATGGAACACATTGTAAGAACTGAATCGAGTTTGACTTCTTTACACACATTATTTGAGATTGAATGCCATAAAGAAATTATTACCTGCGGTTATTTTGCTCTTTTGAATTGAAAAATGCAGTAGTTGTTTATATGTTTTTTCAGACAAGAATGCTGTAAATAATAGACGTGTGTTTTACCTTTTAATATCTCTTTTACAGGTTCCTTTAGAATTTTTAATTGGTAACGGACAAGGTCTCTTACAGCCTAAAGAAATCGTGGTCCAATTCGAGATTCGGAAAGATAAAATCTGAGTCAGGAAATTTAACATAAAAGAACTGAAAACATCAACAAGGAAAAATACTAGTTCCACATCGTTATAAAACCCCATATCAATGAAGATTCCACTTTTGGTGTGATTTTTAAAAAATGGCCCGCCTATGAAATAAAAATTTGCAGTGGAGATGATTTTCTATGCTTTAGAATCTTGAAATCTTATTGCCAAGTTAAAGAAGTGATAGATTTAAATCCACTTTAAAAATATGGATTTGCCCAGTGCTTAATGTAAAGCATTACAATTTTTTTGTTTTGAAATTGCGTGCTCGAATGACTGTACATTAAAACAAATGTTTCACTGTACATTAAAACAAATGTTTTGCATTTATTTTCACGACGCGGCATTTTATTTCAAATTTTGTCGCAGATTACTGCCGACATTTATTGAAATTAGAAACAAAGTATCCAGGCATTTCCAATGTAACACTAATATTATGCTTGTAGCATTTTAAGAACATCGGTCCGAAATTGAGACAACCTCACGTGCAAGACGTTTTATAGAGGAAATATACTATGAGTTTAATACACAGATGGTGTTCTGCAAGAATGCTAACGAAATGCTCTGCGTACCATACTTTGGGCATAAATTTAATTTTCTTTTAAATAAAATGTTAAGTGTTGTATTATGTTAATAATATTTCAGGTATCTGGATGCACATTGGTACATCCAAACATTTAAATAATGGGCACGATCTTGAGAAAGGAATTTTAATGAAAGAAAATGAAATATCTTATATTTCGGCCTATAAAGTACTTTAAGCTTAAAGAAAAGTAAATTTATACTTGACCCCTGTGGTATATCGGGCTGCATATCTCTATTTTTCAAAATATATTTCTTCATTTACATTCATGTTAATATTTTTTTATTCATACAAATATCTCTTTTTTATTATTACACAAATTTGGAAACTGCTCAAAGTTTGTAACTAATGTATTGCGCTGTTTTATTGTCTAAGTCATATTTGTGAAACTTTAACGAATTTTTTATTAATAACCTCAACGATTTCAAAACGAGCAGTGACAACATTGTACGGAAATGAAGAATTTTATCTCTAGCGCGGGAGACTGTCTATCAGAAATTTTATAAAACATTTTATAAGTACATTGTTTTTAAATATTTTTGGCACAAAGGTATATTAGCCCAATTGCTCTGGAAACGTGTATGTTTGCATAAATAAAAAAAGCCCTTTTGGACGTAATATAAAATATGAAAGCTTTCAGACGTTTTTTTAAAATTCTTCCCTTTTTATCCTAAAAATACGTTAGTCAGTCAGAACGTTAATTACACCCCTTTGTAAAAATTTTCTGGCAGTTGATGAAACTGTCTGGCAACACTTCAGACATTTAGTTGTATTGTGTGACGTAGTGACTTTCACTAAACAATTTTCGTTTGTCTGATAATCAGTCGTAAGCATGTTTTGACAGCTGCAAGTGTCGTCCAAATTGGAAATGCGTGCAGTGATTCGATTTTTGTGGGCGGAAAGGTGTAACTGCTATGAAATTTACCGGCAGTTGCATGAGTTTGTTCTGAAAATGCAATGTCACGTCAAACTATCGTGAAGCGGTGCGATATGTTTGAGAACGGACATACAGATATTGAAGACGCTCAGCGCGAGGGAAGACCATCAACTGCCACAAATTCTGAAATTGCTGCTCTTGTGAATGAATGCATTTTTGCAAAAAGACGCATAATAGTAGACGAAATGTCTAATGAACTGGATATTTCGCATGGAAGTGTGCATAAAATTATTGCCGATCAGCTTCAATTTCATAAAGTTTGTGCTGGATGGGTACCTTGTCTACTGACGAAGGAACATAGAGGAAAATGTTTTGAAAGTGCGTGGAAATTTCTGCAACCTTACCAAAAGGAAGGGAATGAGTTTTGGGACAAAATTATGACCGGAGATAAGTCTTGGATTCACCAATTCTCACCTGAAACGAAACACAGCTCCTTCGAGTGGAAACATTCCACTTACCGACTCGAAAAAAGTGTCGAACTCTTTCACCTGTAGGAAAGTTGATGCTGACTCTATTTTTCGAGAAAGAAGGTTTGGTGAATACAGACTTCATGCCGAAGGGTGCCACAATTAATGCATCCTTTTATTGTGAAACACCAAAACAATTGTGAAAATCACTTAAAAATCGATTGCCAGGTAAGCTGTCAAAAGGCATTGTGCTCCTGCAAGACAATACAAGATCGCCTGCAACAAAACAAACGTGCGACCTTCTGAAAAAGTTTAGGTGGGAAGTGTGAGATCACTTTCTTTATAGCTCAGACTTTGCACCATGTGACTTCCATGTTTCGGTCCCATGAAAGCAGAACTTTCAAAGCGACGATACCGCTCAAATGATGAGGTGAAAGCTGCAACCCAAGAATGGTTATCGGGCATCGGACGGGATTTCTTTGCAGCAGGCATCGAAAAACTTGTACCACGCTTTGAAAAATACTTGAATAAGAGAGGTAACTACATTGAAAAGTAGATTTTGAATAAACCTTTAAGATACAAATAAAGTTATTATAAAATTACTATCCTGTTTTGTTTTCTAAGCAGTACAGCTAACTTTGTGACTGACCCTCGTAGCAATATGTTACAATAAATCTCTCTGAAACATGCCGTTTCAGAATTAATCCCTGTTACATGATTCTTATATATGTTGCTAATAATGCATGTACTTATAAAGACAAAAATGGAACTGAAGTTACTCAATGTAAAAACGTATGGAAACGACAAATTTTAATTAACCAAATAGAAATAAAGGTATATTATTCCACTAATGTAATGTAATCTTAATATCGTAAGAGTAGGAAATGCCTGCCTCTGTCCTTATATCGCCGCTTCTCTTCATCACATGCTGTGATGCTGGAAATATCTGGCTTCAAAGAGTTTTCCGCCAAAAAACGTACTTAATAAAGTTAGGAAAAAGAAACATGAAAGCTGTACTTTTTAGTAGAGGTAGTAATCACCACCCAAGTCTATGATTTTCTGCTAACGTTGTGGTATTTTTTCAAAGTATTCGACCGAGATGGCCGCGAGTCCAAAAATCGATCAACCTCATTTCAGACATCCTGCGCAGAATGGAAGATAGCATCCGTAAGATGTAGTTTGCAGGTGTGAAAAAAGGTAGAAGTCTGAGGGAGCGATGCTGGGGATATATGGTGGGTGTGGCAAAAGATCCCATTCGAGTCCATACAGAGTCCAGGCAGTGAATGCAGACACATATGTTCTTGCATTATCTTGATGGAGCATTAACCTTTTGCGCCGGAACTCAGTTAGACGTTTTTCTTTGATAGGAGCATCAACACGCACTAACATCTTGCTGTGCACCTTACTCTCCAGGGTTTTACCCTTTTCCAGATACTCGTTGTGGATAATACCACAACAGTCCCATCAGATAAAAAGCATGATCTTTTTATTAGTTAAATTGCGCTTTGCGGCACTGCCGACCTGCTCAACGGGCGCAGATGAACCCTCTTCTCGGCCTGTGTTGTTGAAGTAAATCCACTTTTCATCATAAGTGACGATCTGTTCCAGAATTTTGTTCTTGCGTTGATATTCCAGCAGATTAGTGCAAGCTCGAACATGTCTGTCCTTATCAGCTTGAGCCAGCTCATACGGCACCCAGCGATTAAACTCAAGCGCCAAGGTTTTGCGATGCATAACGTAACTAATGGGCATGGCACTAACGTCTAGCTCTCGAGTGGTTGCAAACTTCTCTTCTTCCACAAGTTCTGGCAGGCCAGCCTCATCAACATTAGTAGACCAGCCAGAGCGCTCTGCTTCTCAAATATCACAGTCCTTGTTTTTGAATTTTCGGTATCAAACCTTCACACTGTATTATGATACAAGATTAGTACCTAAAGCTGTGCACATGATTTAGTGAAATTTTGTAGCTGACATTTTGCGACAGAACTGAAAGTAAATGATGGTTCTAATCTGGTAGTGTGATAGTTCCACTTCAGGCACCTTGTACTTAATCATAACGATAGTGTTTACAAATTTCACAACACAATGTTCTAAAACAAGTCTGTTTTTTTCAAATGCTAAAAATCGTTTGAGAAAATATGATTAAACACACCAACGAGAACTGTTTGCGCAGATGATATTTGTGGTGGCGGAAAACTTTCATTAAAACCCGAAAAAATGTATTGGAAAACATGATGCAGGTCTGCTCTCTGTTCAGCTGTATACGCTAAATTATTATTATGCTAAATAGCTCGTAATTGACCATGGGAGCAAACCTTGCATGAAAACTGCGTCTTCATTTTACACAATCTATTTGTAAGTTTTCAATTCGAGAGAAGTAATGCCTTGAACTAGACATTCAGAGAGTAATCAAGAATTTTGATGAGAAAAGAAACTTATATAAAAATAAATTTGGTTCGTTCAAGGTTTCGAAAGGATGTTTTATCTTGAAACTGCCTGACTGCTCAATGTATTTACCAAGTAAATTTTTGGACTTCTTTAGAAAGTGCTGAAGACAGCAGAAACAGAATTGATAGAAAAAAGTTTATAATGTGCACCTGTCTTACCACTAAAACTGTTTATGATAAGAGAAAATGTTTTAACACATTTTCAGTTTCTATTGCGCATAAAACCTGAGAAACTTTCTAATACTTGGGCAATTGTATTCGAAGAAGATAAAGTCCTATTTTATTTTTGATACTCACTCTGCATCGATTATCGCAGCTAATTGTAACATAAAATCAAAAGCGTAGTGTTCTTAATCGCAACTCAGAATTGAAAATAAAGTATAAGCAATTATTCTAAAGTAAAAAATAATGTGAATTTTGTTTTGAAATTTTAGATGCTTTATTTAATATTTCTAAGCCACAAAATCAAGATTTTTTAAAAATGTTATAAGAACATCTATTTTTGTATCCAAAACTGTTAATGACGATGACAGCGGCTAAGCAGAAAATTTTTGAACAACTTTCAAATCTTACTTGTAAAAAGAACGGTATTCGTTATTCACCACACATCAATATTTCTGCGCTACTTTGTATACATTTGTCCCAAGCATATAAATTTTTTTATAAGAAATACATTGTGGATGGTTTTGAAACACCTAAAAATTTGAAAAGTAAATTTGTAGTACTTTTTTCAGTTTATAATTAGGCGTTATTCTTGATTGAACTAATTATACGATGAGTTTGAAGTTAGTGTTCAAAGTAAAGTTCAAAACTGCATAAACTATATTACATTTTTTAGAACTAGTTACTATATATTATGATAGTTGAAAAACTGAAATGTTTCGAATACATGGTGTCCGCCGTAAAACAGCACGGCAAATACATTGTGGATGTAAAGGTCACGGAGAAAACAATGCAAAGCGAAAACATCGTTGTACAAAACATCGTGGAAGAAAAGAAAGCAAGGAGAAACATCGCAGTTCTAAAACATTATGGTACAAAACATCGTCATTGGAAATGAAGCATTTCAAAAACATCTCAGTTTTAAACATCGTCGTCAAAAATATCGTGGTAAAATATAAAGCATCTAGAAATCATCTCGTGACGATAACATCATAGACATGCTTTTTCTGGCTTTAAAAATGCTCATATTACCATAAAGATTTGTAAACGCAATAAGGGAGAAGGAATATCTTATATTTCACACTTTTGAATTAACTAATAAAATGTTGCTGAAAAAATAAGTAAATTTAAGCATTCAGAAATTGAAAATCAGTAGAAAAATAGAGCTACCTATGGCAGTTAACAGAATCTTAAATTTATATAGTTAACTAATAAAGGTTATTAATTAATTAATCGCTTTTATAAAGTTTTATTAGTAATTTATAAAAAGTATAGCCTAAAACAGATTAGAAAAAAGAGAGTAACTTCATATGTTTACCTCTATTAAAGCTGTTTAAATGAATCATCAAATTATAAAATTTTGTTAACCTCTACTAACTTATACTCACTTTCACTTTTAGAATGCTTAAGTTTCTTTCTTAATTTTCCAGCAAAAATTTGTTAGTCAATTAAAAAATATAAAAGTAAAAATATTAAATATTCCATATTTTTTTTTTTTTTTTTTTTTTTTTGAGCTCACAAATCATTATGCGAATATACATTTACAACTTTTAAAGCTCGAAAAACGCATGCCTGAGATGTTATCGTCATGCAGAATTTTTTAGGTGCTTTGTTTTCCACCACGATATTTTTGACAATGATGTTTTTAAACTGCGAAGATTTTAATTGCTTTATTTTCGATTGTGATGTTTCGTAATACTATGTTTCAGAGCTGTGATGTTTTCTCATTGCTTTCTCTTCTTCCACGATGTTTTGTACGACGACACTTTCGCCTTGCATTGTTTTCTCCTTGACGTTTTCGCACGCTATGTTTTCTTCTCTAACCAAATAAATCATGTTTGAATGGAAACAAATGTTTGATTAATCAAGCTGTTTCATTAAACGTTTCTGTGAATCGCGTAGTATTTGCTTTGCTATAGATTTGCTTAACAAGTACTTGTATTGCAAAAAAATGTGAATTATTTAAAATCAACCTAAAATTTAAAAATGAATTTATAGTAATTTATTAGAAAAAATTCAGTAAATTTTTTTAATTCGATAATGTAAAAGGAAACACGCTCAATTAATAGACTATTCTTGTAGATATTGAGCGACTGGAAGTGGGAGATTTTTAACAACGGAATCAGTCTCATTTCTAACATATTGCAGCATTAACTAGTAGGTGTGAGCGCATTCTTTAATTTACTCGCTACTAGTGACGTCACAGTCCCAGTGCCAAGGCCTTGTTCTATCGGTGGAGACGGTTCGAATCTGGCACGAATGTGCGTTACAAAACCACGAAAACGTCCATGCAGCCTGTTCATTCATCTGGAATAGGGCCCAGGTTGAACTGCCAGTGTTAAGCGACTTTACCACTCTGCCAATGGTGAGCTTTATATTAAAAAAGAAAACCTAATTTAATTACTTAATTAATTTTGTGCGACTATCCTTTATGGAATGGCATATTGGATACTGTAGTTACGTCCTTATAGTCAATTAGCCTTAGAATTATTAATCATATTTATGAAAGTAAATGTAATTGTTTTCTCATTGCATCAACTGTTCGTAAACACATGTAATTACGCAAATAATTTATATTTAATTTTTTTGTTTGTTTAAAGTCAGATACAGTAAAAAATTTTGAAAAACATTTCTTTTAAAAAAAGTTTTTTTTTCCCTAAAATGATAATTTCAAAATTAAGTCAGGGCTTAATTTGGAAATTAAGCCATGACTTAATTTTGAAATAGACTGTTCTTGTAGTCTATTTCAAAATATAAATACGGGTAAATATGGACAATGCTTTTCTAATTTAGAAATATCTAGTTATAAAATATTGCTGTAAAATTTGCAGGGTGCATTTATTCATTCATGAACTGAATAAATAGATTTAAAACTAATATAAGCAGAAGAATTAACATATACACAGGTACCACTTTTTGCAAACTTAAGCATTTGTTTAATATCGCAATGCATTACTTGTTTAACAGCTTTGAAACTTTGAAACGTATTTTAGATTCAATTCTGAGTACCTTTTTCAATTTTGATGTTTTTTGTTTTACGTAATTTGGGAAACTTCTAATATTCTATAAAATATTTTTTAACATTTTAAATAAACAATTCCGAAATGATATTTTAAATATACGTTAATAACAACAAACACAGAAAAGTTCAAAATACGTAGGTTGGGGCAAAAGTCATGGGAACTATTTTTTTTCTTGAAGATACCAGTCCGGTTGGAAAATGTGACATATACAGACGAAAGGACAAGGTCTTAACTACATATGTGGACAATGAATAGCACTGAATTATCGTAACACACGAATTTATTACGGTAGTATGCAGGGCAATATGGCCTTCACCGTGCATAAGAATGATAACACAACACACGTAAGAAGTTGACATGACAAACCTGAGCCTAAAGACCCTCAATTGTTCAATAGTTCCCTGCTATTGTCATCACATGCTGCCTACGATGGAGGCGCTGAATACCATCAGCCTCAGCATTTGCCGCACCATGTGTGACTCGGGTCATCTGTTGGCGCTCAGCATTAGCAATGTCCTCTCGTGTTGCAAACCGCCTACCTCGTATTGGTTCCTTAATCTTGGGAATGAGATTAAAGTCACAGAGCGAAAGGTCAGGAGAGTACCGGTGGGTGCTCCAATTCTTACATCCCCAATGTCGGAGTATCCGTACACACTCTGCTTTATGTGGCTTCCATTGTCGTGCAGAATTATTGCACTGTCCACAAGATCCGGACGTTTATCCCAAACGCCACGTCGTACCTGTCGCACCAGGAAGTCCCTGTAGTACTCTGCGGTCACTGTTCTGCCATGAGGAACAAAGTGGCAAACAATGACACCCCTGACGTCATACACGACGATCACCATCAATTTGAGTGGGGAAGGATTCTGACGCTAGCTCATTACGCAATATCCTGTGGACGATGCGTTTTTCGATGCCACTTGCCCTCTCTAACTCTAGTACCGTCCATCGTCTGTCTTCATCCATGAGGTGCTCGATGACGGCAGGTGCAAGTCGGTCTACACACTCACCGGTCGTCTCGAACGTTGCTCATCACTGGTCCTTGCCGAAACTTTCCTACTCACCGTGCTACTGTACAATATGGTAGGGCATTATTCCCAAGGGCTTCTACGCTGCTCAACACGGGTTACTTCCATCTCTCACGACACTTACCAACTGACTGATTTCAGAACCCTCGCTACAACAGAGCCAACTATCACAGAACCATCTGTTGTTCTGCATACGCACTATGCCTGCAGAACTTTCAAACGACACATATACGTTTTGTGATCCGTTCACATATCTACAAGAAAAAAATAGTTGCCATGAGTTTTGCCCCAACCCTCGTATTTCAGCATTTATATTCTGAGCTGTAAAAACAATAGCAAATACAAAACTGAGAAAACTGTACCTAAGATTTTCAATTTAGTAATATTCCTTTACGTTTTTACGGTAACGTTTGTCTACCTCCGGCATCCCCTAATATACTGGCTAGCGCTCGTTATAGTATTTGGCATCCACAAAATGGCCCATACTGGCTATTGCCGGTTACATTCAACATCCACTGAATACTCCATGCTGGCTAATACGGGTTATATCCTACATTCACCTGTTGCATTCGGAAATCACTGAATGCGTTCGGCTAACCATCGAACAGTTGCAGTGCCCAGAATTTGACACCAAGCATTTATTTACCACAAAAGAAAAATGTGTTGTTTGTTGTTACTTATGCTCACTTATCTGACTGTAACATCAACCCAAGACTACTAAATACGTCGTGGCAAGTTTACGTTTATCGTTGGCAACAGCCTTAAGCACCTTACAGGTGACAGTGCTATTTTGCTCCATTCCGCTTCCAATTTTGATGGAGAGCTCCCGGGGGGATGGGTCTAAGGGTCTCCCACAACTCTCCGCTTAAACCAAACCACACGAAAGGACTTTCGGCTCGCCGCATATTTAGAGTACCGCCATGAGGCACCGAATCTATACATTTACAAACATCCATGTCTTCTCCGGGATTCGAACCCGGGCCCTTGAGCTGGATAGTCAGCGACGCTAACCACTATATCAGCTGGGCGGCAAAGAAAATGCTCTTAATACGAGTAAAGTGTATTTTTTCATAATTTTATGAGTGTCATAATTAAAACTGAACTAATTAATTATGAATGACATTACATAAGGAAATGTAGGTGAACTAGCTTGGTTAGTTTTACGGCTTGAAGTTCTGTGATTCCACTTACCTGTTTCACATATTAATAAGTGGTTTACGATTTGTTGTGCTTAAGATGGCACATAAAAATCTGAAAAAAGGCAGTTGGGGTGCGAGATTGATTTGGAAAGCTTTGAAGAAAATGAATCATATAAGGGAAAGAAAAAAAACGATTAAATATACTGATATAACCATGAAAATCTTTAAAAAAAGGGCTGATGACGTTATCGTACGAAGCAGAAACTTTCAAATTCATTAGTACCGATCTGATGGCTAGTTTAGTCATTGCGAAAGGAATAAATACGGACAATGCTTTTCTAATTTAGAAATTATCATTTCTAACATGTGTTCTAGTTATAAAATATCGCTGTAAGATTTACAGGATGCATTTATTCATGCACGAACAATATTTTGATTCGAATTTAGACGAATGTTATTTTAAGAGTTGCGTCAAAAACTAGGTTACTCTAAAGAAAATACTTATATGTTTCAAATTTTACCTCATTAAAAAAGGAATAAATGAAAAAAATGTGTTTTGTCATGAAATGCTGTTTTAAGAGACTAAATACAAACTAAAGTTGTAGAGATATTAGGTATTTTTGAAGCAGGAGACTTGAAAAATGAGCAACACCTTCGCCGCGAATCGAACCACGGACCTCTGGAATACGCGCTTAGTGTGCAGACCTTTACATCACGAAGGAACGATAAGAAGGCGGGAGAAATTCCTTGGAAAGTTACAAAATAAAAACAAAATGAGATAAAGCAAAATTATTGTTTACCTTACTAAAATAAATCAATTTTGATGACAAGAAAAGTGTTCACTAAGGTTAACTGCCGTATACATGAAAAAAAGAAAATGAACAAAATAATACCTTCTGTCGTGAACAACGTTGAAGCAAGAGAAAAAATGCGCCGCTAAAGGCCATCGATTTTAGCCTGTCGTCATAGCACGTGGAGAAATATTCCTGTTTTCTGTACTGTCATTAAATGAACTGCCATTCCTGGAAGCGGGAGCAATTTTTGGAAGGTCCGGACTATTCCAAATATCACGGTTTGGTCCTTGTTATGGTAAGCGAAAACAGTTTACTTTCTTTCAATCATTGTTATTGTTATTTTTATTATCATTATTATGATCATTTTTATATTTCTTGAACAACTCCTGATGAAACATACTCTCTCAGATGTTTCCAGTTTCATATCTAGAAAAGCAATTAATTTCATTAATTCAAAGAAGAAACTCTGTGGAGTTTTACACCGTAGTCTGAGGTAAAGAAAAATGTTGAAACGTTAACGCACTAACAGTGTTAAATAATTATATTCTCCATATCTTTGCATTTTAAAAATTATATTATTTGCGGTAAAGTCTATAAAAGAGTCTTTATTTTTGAAGCAGGAGAGACGGTGTAAAACTCCACAGAGTTTCTTCTTTGAACTATGCATTTGTATTATGCTATGCATTTGTTTAACCATGATATGACTAAAAGACAAATTCAGCCGAATAATAAGAAGACAGTGCGAATTGCATTTAAATCTAATGAGCAAGAAACATAGTTTTACTGCTGACCGAACTTTATGGGTTTTAAGTACCATAATTTTCAATTATATGTTAGAAAAAACGAAACAAATGCGATATTTTTGAGGCATTAAATGCTTTGCAAATGAGGGTTTAGAGCGCAATTTTTTGCATTATAAATGTCGGTCTTTAAAAATCTAATTTTTAAGAATTTACAAACCCAAATATAAAAAAGATCCAGTTTTTAATTCACTCTCTTGTTTTATTTTAAATGAATAACATGCAATTTAAATAATTCATACTATGATCAGTTGATGAGAGTATATGTTTTTAATGTGAGTTAGAGAACGCGCATTCCAGAAGAAAATGGGTTTAAAATTTGAACCTGTGGTTCGAAATTACTTTTTCCAAAGAGAAGACTTTCCTAGGTTAGGAAAATATGCTTATAGGCAGGCAAAAACTACGACTATAAACTGTTATTTTTCTTCTTTGTTTAGGAATCTTAGGTCAGAGAACAAATTTTTTTTTAGTTTTAAGTTTAGGATTTGGACGGATTATTTAATTATGGCAAAGCACACGGGGGCTATCTGCCTAAAGGGAGGGATGCCTTCCTGGAGGACTTTCTAAGGAAAACTGGCTCATATACACGTTACACATGGGAAAAACCACGAAAACGCACATGCAGACAGCCCGGTCGCGGTATTCGAACCTCAGACCGAACTACCAGTGTTCAGCGTTTTTACCGCTCGGCCGCTGGCGGGCTTTTAAGTTTAGGTAATAAAAGGATGGTAAGTTTTAAAGTGGAGAAAATTATTTCAATATATTTGGCACTTATGAACGTGATCATCGTGTAAAAGAATTGTTGTTAATTAAAAATCTTTACAGCTTTCCTTTGCATTTTCTGATTAAGAATTTTGCAATTATGGAAAACAAATGTTTTCTGTGGTTTTCTGTGATTTATATTTTCGGGAATAAAAATCTTTTATTCAGTTTTATAAAACAAGTATTTTACAAATCATAATTATCTTCTAAAAATAGAAAACATAGATAAAATAATTCATAAATAATGGTGGAATTTTCTAGCTTCAGATAACTGACCGTCTTTAATATTACATTGAAATTTTATTGTTCTAGTTATTGTAATCTTAAATTAATTTAAAAGTTAAAAAGTTGAGAATTAAACATTTAGTTAGAGCATTTTAGTGACTTGAAATAAAAAGACTGAAGTTTAAATGAACTTGAGTTTTTACTTTATTAACTTGAAAATGTTAATCAGTTTTCTTTTACTTCAAACGTTTTTCTTCAAAATGTTGTCTAGTGTAGCACCAATGTTCTTTCACTATTATTATTTTAAGTCATACCCGTTGTCAAGTGATCAGTGCTTTAAAATCAGTATTTATGTGTTAAAATAAAAAGATCCATTTTAATATTACTATCAACTATGCATTTAATAAAATAAATATGTAAATACATGCCTTTAATCAGTATCAGAAAAGGATCAATGATTGGAAAAATATAACGAATTCAGTTCTTCTGATTGGGAATTTATCTGATTAAAAAAAAAAGACTTTTCTTAAGATTTGAAAATTAGATATTGACAAATTTGACACCAAGGTAGAAAATCAATTTTAGTTTCTGCAAGAAGCCAGCATTTTTTACTATAATTTTAAGTTAATAATCGAAAGTTACTTCTCATTTTTTAAAATATTGTTATTCCTGAATGTTTAACTATTCAGAGTTCAAAATATTTTCCAACTGAAGCACATACACACGAAATTTAAGCATTTATATGTCAAATGTGTGTGTATATGTATATTCTAATTCGCAAAATCTAATTTAATCTAATTTAATCTTCTCTTTGGAAAAAGTAATTTCGAACCACAGGTTCAAATTTTAAACCCATTTTTCTGCACTTCTCTTCATTTACTTCAAAACCTTCCAAGGATAATTAAACTGCTAAAAGAAGAAGAGTTTAATGAATTGCAGTCTCATGAACGTGTCGTATAACATACCGAAAACTTTTTTTAAACTTTAAAAATTTCGTTAAAAATGTTATATAAATTAAAGGATACAAAAACATTATGCAAAACTGAAAGAAATATGTGATCTGATTTTCCTAGTCAGATTCCAGTTTAACACTTGAAACAATTTTAAGCTAAATAGTTACGATGGTCTACTGAATTAATCGCCAACACTTCAAAATGCATAACATAAAATCATGGAAATTCAAAATAGCAACGTCGAACCACACGTAATGTTTCTATCACAAATTAAAGCCTGATGGGGATTTTGCACTTAATTAATTAAACAAAAGTTATTCAGGATATAATCGTACATTCTTGTTCCACATAAAGGCTTGTACTTAAAGTTGCAACAAATAATTTCTGCCCTATTTCTTGCTACAATCTGTTCTATTTTTTATAATGCTTAGCAATAACACCCTTTTTTGCGATGCGAATTTTAATTCATATATCATATTCTGAGTGCAGTATGGTTTTATGAAGTACTTCTAATTCTCTCTTTAAATACATAATTGAATTCTCAGTAATTTTACTCTCTGTAATCTCTTGAACTTTTATTTAATGCATTTTTTTAAATTTTACTTATTGGATTCTTATTCATTCTGCGTAGTTTTAGGAATTTTATATTTTTCTTGATAGTAAAATTTCAGTTTCATCCTTGATATTTAGAAAATTAAAATACTTTTATAACGTGTACCAAATAGCTTTCTTTTTTTTATCTACAGTTCATGTATCAAATTAATTCTGCTTTTCTTTCAGATAAAAGGGGAACTCGTATGGTTTCTTCGATACGAATTATGAGTTATTTTTCCATATTTAGTACCCGCCCAATGAAATGGTTATATTTTATTTCCTTATGTTTACTTCTATTAATCTATGGGCATCAGCATATTGCTGGAAACAAGTCAAATGGACCCATTCATCGAAAGGATAGCTGTAAGAAAGGTAAATAAATAAACATGATATGTATTTAAACTTATTGCTCTTCAAATAACTTTCTTTCAGTTAATTAAGTAACAGATAATTATTGCCAGTTATTTTAATTTTAACTTCTGCTTTCCAGTGATAAACTTTCTTAATTATTTTCGTAAAGTAACAAAATTTAACGCATTTATTAAAATTATTGAAGCAATATAAAAATTTGCATAGTAGTATACTATTACATTGAATGCAGTTCAGTTTATGCGTATTTAAAATTTTAATATTTATTATTATTATCCTTTATTTTTTTTTTAATTTAGCTATTTGAATTAACTTTCTGAAGTCCGTAAAACAAGATGTAAACTCTTTCACAAAGATGCAAGCAGGCGGTTTTTGTAGTGCTTACACCTAACGCACTTCTTTGTTAAAACCTGTTAATATGGAAATTTTTTTCTGCGGGTTAATATGAGTGCGTACGCATATTCTGTATCCACCTTTATGCTAAGTATTGTTTCTTTTTTCTAATATGCTAATTTTTTTATTTATTCCTTAATTTTTAGGACACCAAATGCACTTTTGCTATTCATTTGCTTTTTGAATTCTAAGAAATATCCTGTAATACATGTAGATAAGACATGTCTCATCCTTTTACGTGCCAGAGCATGAACATAACGACATAAAATGCAGGCAGTGGCTTTTTAAATGCTACTATATATAACAAGTGGCTTACGATATTTTCCACACTTTTGGAGGATAACCAAAAATTTTATCTGCTGCTTTGTTCGTTTGGATCTTACGATATTTTCTACACTTTTTGGAGGATAACCAAAAATCTTATCTGCTGCTTTGTTCGTTTGGATATAACGAGCATCACAAAGGAATGCATAGGATTAGCTTATTCGTAGCAAAGATTAAGTTTATTGGAGAATTCAGGTCGGATAAATTTATAAATCGTACTTTTGATTATATACTACTTTTAGCTACATTAGGACAATGTTTATTTGAAACATCAGCATCTAATATTCATCACAAAATTTTTTTGTATACTATGTCTCTGAACTTTTACACACGCAAATATACATAAGTATGCAGATTTGGAGTATGAGATTACAACCTCACATTTTTGAACAAAAGCAAAATGTTAATAGTTCAAACTGTATTTTTAAAATCAAGCTCATGTTATTTCAGCTTCAGTATCACCCTTGCAGAGATCATTGAAAATGTGAGCGTATGAAACGCTGGAAATTAACAGCTCCGTCGCGGGAATTCGAATCATGGATCTTCCACCTGGTAGCTAATCACGTACGCTGTGATAGCATGTATTCCATGCAATAATTCCTCGTATTATCCACCCACTTAAAAGCCGACTAAATAGATACACCAAACCAGACCAAATCCATGCGCTAAAGAATTGTCACCTTTTAGTTCGTGTGTTTCCTATAGACTATAATCATTAAATTAACAGAATAGGAAAACGTTAAAAAACAGCAGTGCTTTTACTAGGATTTGAAACATATGTTTCCTATTTGCTAGTTAGAAATTAAAATTACCGATCTCCCCTTTGCTAGAGCGCATAAAGGGGAACGCGTTAATTCTTTACAACTTAACTTTTTAGTACCTTCATGTGTTACTTAATAGTTAGTAAAATGCCTAGACACGAGTCAGAAATATGTTATACGAGATAAAAAATAGTCTACGTACTGTACCATTACAACATGTGTTTACAATTAATGAGTTTCTTTTTTTGATGAGAGTGAACCAAGCTGTCCGTTCAACTTCTATCGCGGTTTACCTGACCGAAAAAAAGAAGCTCCAAATGAGAGTTTGTATCTCCCCTCTCTGCTGTTACTTGCTTACTTGCTAGAGTGCAGGAAATATAAAGGGGTGAGAATGATTTGAGACTTTCTAGTGTTCAATCTTTCTGCGTCTGCAGAGGTTATTTCTCTATGTAAAAAAAACTATATTATTCCCGAGGTGTATAACATGACCTTCAACTGTTAAAATTGAATAAAAAGTAAAAGAAAGAAAAAAAGACACACGTGTTTTTTTCATCTAGTCATCGACCGCATCAAATCGCTATGAACTTAAGAAAATTACGAAGATGTTAGAAGTTATTTTTTATTTATGGTGGCAGCACAAAGAGGAGTACTCTCATAAGAAATTTTTAGATTTGTTATAAAACGAAAAATTATGGAAGTGGACCGTCAGCGGCCGAAAGTTATCACCATCTTAAAGGTTTGTTGAACCGTCCCGTGTTTGCAAATATTTGAGTGTATAGTAGTGCAAATATTTTATCTATTAAGAAGTAGACAGTCAGTGTGCAGAGTCATTAGGTTACATAGATGCAGGAGACGTAAAAATCGTGCAATACCCTAGAGGGAATTTGAACTCCAGGCCTCCCGATTATGCGTCGGAAGTGCCATCCAGTTACACCACTAAGGCACGTGGAAAGGAGAGAGAGAGTACCTTATATAAGCCCTTTTAAAAAGAGAATTGGGTTGAGGAGACACAACCATCAAATCCTAGTGGTGACGAATAGGGGTTCCACTAAGTATTCTTTCGGGTGCCGTTTGTAGAGACCTTTTAGACCTTTCGAAGCGAGTAAACTGAAGAAATCCGCAATGACCCCACCGGAACAGTGCTGCCAGAAAAATTTCGACTAAAGTAGCAAAAGAAGGCTAAAAAATCGGAAAAAAAAAAAAAAAAAAAAAAATCGCAAATGACGTCAGAGATCACGTGATTTTTATGACGTCATAGGTACGCAGGCTCACGTGACCTCTGACGTCATCTCAAATTTACCGTCTATTGCTTCTGTAAGTTACAGACTGTATTCAATTCTTAGTCTTTTTAATTACATATCTGATCTTTAACGAAAATTTTAAAACTATATATTGCTCATTTTCAGTTGTTTAAAGATCCATTTCTTTTTTAATTAATTCTCATTTAATTTAGTTTCAACTTTTAAATTAATTTGCAGATATCCACTCTTAAGAAATTCCTCACGCTTAGACTGTTAGCTCTTTTCTATTAATTTTTTTCAGTTGGCAGTTAATTTTTTTAATTCATTGTTTTTTGCTTAAGGGGACTTATACACCTTAAAACCCATAAGATGTTCGAATAGGTGACTGTTGCAAGAATTGGGATAACTTATTTATTTTAAAAGCAATTACTACCAACTTTTTACAGCTGACTACATAATATAGCTGCTTTCTGAAATAGTCATTAGAAAGTTTGTGTTGCCACAAATATTTTTATAATTTAATCCGCTTTGTGACAACATTTTTCGTCGAGTTTCCAACTTGCGCGCACAGTTTAAAACATTCTGTTTCATAATTTAATTCCATATTTAATATATAGCTTCTATAACGTTTGGAAACTACTGTGAACCTAAAATTCTAAAAATTTCATGTTCAATTTTTATTTTATTTTGAGTTGAGTTTATAAAATGTATTTTATTAAAAAAATTTGTAATGTTTTCGTCCATAAAATTTTTCAATAGTAAAACATTCATCAGAGTGTTGGTTCAGTTAGAAAATAGTGCCCATATAAAGAATTCCATCCGATTTCAAGTATGTACCATCAGCCATTTTTAAAATATCATGCGCGCAAGGTGGAAATATGGCGAAATATTTTGTCACAAAGCGGATTAAATTACAAACATATTTGTGGCAACACAAACTTTTTGGTTACTAGTTTCCAAAGCAGCTATATCATGAAATCAGCTGTAAAAAGTTGGAAGTAATTGTTTTTAAAATAAATAAAATATTCCAATTCTTGCAACAGTCACATATTCGAGGATCAGGAGGGGTTTAAGGTGTAGGAGTCTCCTTAATTGTGAACATTTTAATTGAGGAATGCTTTTCAGTGAGATTTCCGTTCTGTGTGGTGGATTTGTTTCAGATTCTGATTACTTAAGATATAAGGTATTTCTCCCACTTCTGCAAGTTCTTTGGTTCGATTGATTATCACCATAGAACTGGGGGGGGGGACTGACTTAAAAACAAAACGCACGGGGGACGAGGAAGGATGGTGAGAAGTCCCGAAGCATTATTTTCTTTCTTTTTTCTTTTTCCACTTTCCTTACCTCTTTCTTGTTATACCGGTATCAGGCTGTGCAGGCTTGAAAAGGAAAGCCCACATATAAATATGATTGCCAGATGTCAACTTTTATTTAAGCCTAAATAAACTATTTTTTAATATAAATTATATTTAATTGATAAATTATTTTAAAATAAAAGCATTTTACGATATATTAAAAAACTCTTTGAAGTCGCAAAAAATAGCATAAGAAAATGATGGATGCCGTAAAAATTTCGCAAATCGTAAATATTAAAATTTTAGTAGCACACCAATTAATAATGTCAAAAGTCGCAAATTTTAATTGAGTGCGATTTTGCGCAAATTTGCGCAAAATCGCACGATTTGGCAACACTGCGTCCGAATTCGAACTCTGGATCTCCGGATTACATATTCGACGTGCTATCTAGTAGTTACACCACGAAGACACGGGGAAAGAAGAGAGAAAATACTTATAAGTGTCCAAAAATCATCAACATCTTAAAGTTTTTTTTGGACCATCCCGTCTTTTTAAGTATTTTCGTATAATGAAATGAGGAAGTTTAATCTATTAAGAAAGAAGTGGAACGTTCGTTTCCGAAGATCAGTATATCTTAAAGTTTTGTTTGACAGTCTGCGGTCATAAATATTTTAAAAGAGAGCCAGAGAAACCCCAATATTAGAATACGAAAATTCTCTGCGCTTCGTACATATTTAAACTGGAATTCCAATGAGAGATACAAAAGTCAACTTAAAATTTCAAAATTTAAATTTCAATTTACATTAAAGAAAGAAAATATAAAATAAAGGTAAACTAAAATAGTGGAACACAATATGTGTCGAGTACCAGTAAAAAGGAAAATTTGGAAAACTAAAGGAAACGGCTAAAACGGTAATTGTCCTTTCTATAAATATAAATATTAAGGAGAAAAACTTTATTTAAGTTCCCAAACGACGAAATCTTGTAT